CTGTGACTTGTGACCGAACAGATGGACTGACCGTGTAAGCTTTGCAAATTGCCGAACGTGAGTATACATTGGTGTGTGATGGCCCCAACCTGCCTGGAGGCGTATGGGATATGGGGAGCGCCATTCCATGAGCAGGAGTGTGAAAAAGACACTGGGGTTGGTGTGACACCAACAGCGACAGTCGCACATCCCGCAGGACTTGGGGTGCATAAGTGATAGTTCTCTTGGGTGTGCAGTAACATTTGCAATGCTTGTGCATGTGTGTGTGTGTGTGTGTGCCAATTGTGTGTGAGTGTTGGCAACTGTGTTCCCTCCCCTGCTGGTGCTTCCTTGTTGCTTGTGGTTGTTGGGTGAACAGTTCTGGCTGGGGATCAGCAGCCATCTGCTTTTTGGCTTTGTGAACTCTTGTTCCGTATTCTGTTGCTAGGATTGTTCTTGCTGGAAGTGGTTTGTTGGTGACGGAACTTGCCAAACGTTCTGATGAATGTGAGCAGCAGGCTATTTTGAACCCCCATATGCCTTTAGGAATAAGTGGGTGAAGTAACAGCAGATTGGTGACCCCTATCATTTGAAACTTTTTACTATCACTGGCTGTGGTATGCAACCTAAGTAAATTGTTTTTGGAGCCTGTCTGCTAGCATTAAAATCGTCTTGGCAGTGAAAGCAGCACAAACATTAGGGTTTTGTCACAGAACGTTTTTACCTATCTTTGCCAGATGACTTGATCATTATGCGAAATAGCCAGGTAGCACCAACAGCAGTCATTTTGCTTTGAAAATGATTCCCATTCACGGCAGAATTCTGGGCAGAACATGCAGTTTCAAGAGCGCCCCAATGGTGGGTCGCAGTTGGGCCGCAATGCTCAACTAACAATAATGATTAGGTCAACTGACGCATGCACGAATGTTGTTACGCACCTTGGGGTGCCTGTCCACGGCTGCCATCATGTGTTGCGTGTCATGGCAGCCTTCGATGTCATACAGCAGCTTTGGACACCGAATCGCGGGTGCCTTAGAGGTGCACACACGGCGACGGTGATTTGCGGTAGCATGCTCGAACATGGGTGAGAGAGCGTGGCTGCCAAGTCTTGATGACGATGATGACGATGGCGGAAACGAATAGGCTATGCCACGCTGCTTGCATGGCAGCGGCCTGCCTCGCCATGCATGGGTTTTGTTTGCCCACGAGAGGCTGCAATGAGTCCCAAGGGACGCTGGAATCCATGACGAGCTGGACTGCTAGCCGCGGCCCGCATCTGAAGGGTTTTCCGGCGATGGGGGGCGTGATCGAGGCATTAGAGCCCATGGCGAAGGTATGGGGAACCAGGCGAGGGCACATCCTTGCGATTGTGATGAATTAGTACTGAGCGCTAGTGATTGGTTGATGAGACAATAAAATGTGCATGCATTGAGCTGGTTATGATCCAATGGTTGCAAAAGGACAGTTTATTTGATGGAGAAGCCGTGGGGGCGGCACTTGACAGTGCCTTATGAATGAATAGCACTGATCCGAGGATTAGTGGGAATCATTGGATGAGGGACAATAATGGGTAGCAGATCATGATAGTGATCTGGGAAGCTGATACGACTAATAAGCGATGATCTTGGAAGCTGGGCAATAGTAATCTGAATCCTTGGAGAATATTCCGAGGATCCTCAGACAAGGGGGGCAGCCAGCCGGGACTATAATAAGGGAGCGTGCAGAGGGTTTGCTGCAGCCATCCACCGTAGGAGCTGACCTCCGGGCTGTTGCTTTGGACGAAAATGTAACGTACACATGTTTGATCGCGGGAATCTTGTAGCGCCTCCTTGTGTGCGAACGTCTAAGTGCTATCCAAGTAAAATCGCTTCAAGCGATCGACCGTGGTAACATGCCAGGGGCTGGGTCTGAGAGCGCGGGCACTGCCCCATTGTCGTACAACACGTGGCGCATTGATTTACGACTTGTAAAGGGATCGTTACGTGCATTGCGTTTGCATGGTGATTCAGTGAGCTGCGTGAGGAGTTGGTAAGCAGCGATCGCGAGAAAACAAACGTCGGACGCCCTCGAAGCATACAAACATGTGTCGCAGCTGCAAAGTAACGCCTGTTCGGTGACCCACTGTGCCGATCATGGACGGTTTGGTCCAATCGTCATCATTGACACGACATCGGCGACATTCGAGTGCCAGAAATTATAACAGGGTCTCCCTTGCAGACCCTCGAGGTCCGCTCCTGCTGAAACACTAGAAAGTGATCCCTAGACCCAGCTGTGTATCGCTGATCTTGGCGTGAGCAAGGCTGGAATGGAGCGCTGCCCTCCCCCTGGATACTTCGGAAAATCTGTATCCGTTGCTAAACGGCATCGCCATTCCTCGATCGAGATGTTGCGCAATGATCGATGTGAACCCATGAACTGTGTTGTTTGTGAAGTGAGGCATCGCTGATTACATGTCAATTGGCTGTGATGAACAATGATCGACATGTCATCTAGGCTGGAAAAGCCTGATCTGGTGGACGGAGATATTTTAGCTTCAGAGATCAGGTTTGTCTGCTCACGAACATTGAATTGACGTGCTTCGCTTAGGCAGCACTTGTGCGAGGAAGTTGAAGGATTGGATCCTCACATTAGTGAAGGGAGCAGCAGCAGCTCACCCGCTCTAGTGGGCAGCTACGACGTAGGCTGCTTTTACAAGTATCTTCCACTTAGTAATGGACTAGTATTTGGTGTCAGACTCTAGGATCCATCTTCCAGGTACGGTATTTCTTGTGTACATGTGCTAGCAGACTAGAAACAGGCTGCACAAAGGTGAGGGTCATTCGTCATGTGGATGGTGTCTGGAGTGAAATTCATGCTTTTGTGAAGAAGAATGAGCAAAATACACGATGATAGAAGATGAATATCGTGTGTTTTCGCACTTTTGCTTGTTAATTGTCATTAGAAAAGCAATTCAACTTTGGAAGGCAAACGGAAATCCTGCGCTATGACCGCGGCAGGACAAAGATTCCTATCCTCATGAACATGACACCCTTTACGGCGAACTCGCCACTCTAATTATCTTTTGAATCATCTGTTGCAACGGATCCCCAATTGGGGAGCAAAGCCCACACCCAAAGGCCAGCTGTGTCAACACGGAATGCCACACATCGACCCCAGAGTGTCATCCAAAAGACGCCCATTTTTTCTTGATTGCATGGAAACATCAGAAGCTAAAGTGCTTCTCACGTCAACTACGACACACCTCGTGGAATCCCACATCATAGCCAGATGAAGTACCTTATGCGATTTATGTGCCCCAACAGGCAATCAAGCCTACTCAAAGGGCATGTGCAACGTTCACAGTAGGCAGCAGGTGGCCTGAAGGGAAGACACTATGTCGGAATTGGTACCGTCGCATCAGTTTGACGCCAGAGTGGGGAGGTGGGGTGGGTCAGACCCGTGACGTTAAGAGATTATGTAATTATCACAATACCGATATAAGCTTGGAAGATGCCCAAAACGCTGCTGAAAAGTGGCAAGAAACTCATGACTTGTCCCAAACCTCCCTTCGGCGTCCAATCTTCACAACAAGCCTCGTAAAGTCTCAAGCGGCGGCCTTCAAGGCTGCCTCCCATCAGATGCCATGGCGTATTGCATCTCAACTTTAAGCCCATTGCAATCGCTGCAGTTTTGGCAGTTTTTCTTTCTTGAAAAGATAAGAAATTTGTTCCACACCATGTGTAATGGCCTTGGCCACCCTCCGGCTTGTGACACCCACCTACCACCGACGTGAGACACACATTCAGGCTGCCTCCGGGTGTTTTGTCGCTGGCGGAAACTGGTGCGAACATTCACCACCGAGGTAGAACTTGACTGCCGCACTCATGTACTCCGGACGGCCTTTGGAGGCCCCACCAAATCACCAATCCTCGCCATTAGTCATTCAATGGCTGGGTGCCGAGAAGTTGGTTGGTTGTCCCGTGGCAGGAACGGTGGGGCGGTGGCCGCGGGCTTGGCCGTGGAGCACCTGCCCAGAGGCTAAATTGAATGGGGGCGCGGCGGGGGGACGATACAGTCGGTACACGCAGTGCCGGAGTCAATCGGAAGTCGCTCCAAAAGCTGAGGTGCGGTTGTGGCGGGAGGGGTCCAATTGAGTGCCGCGCCGCGCTCCGCTACGCGAGCGGGGGCGCGACGTGGTGGCAGGCGCGAGCGTTGGGATGCTGAACGAGAGAAGCGCTCGGGAAGTTTCCATGGGTGGCATGTGCATATTCTCGTCATGGTTGCCTGCGCGGGGCTGCTGGACATCGTCCCGCGTATGTGGACCACTTCGAAGCGACCGAACGGCGTGCATGTTACGTGGACTGGCCGCCGCTCGCGGCGCCGGGAGGGCCGCCGTGATTAATATGCACCCAAGAGCTGCCATCTCGGCGACGACAGTTCGGATGTTTGGGTGGGTTAGTCGATCTGATGGTGTTGGCGTGTGAGCCAGACCGCAATCCAGACAGCAATTCATATCTCGAGTGGGGCAGCATCAGCGCAGCGAATTTTCGCTGAAACGCTTTGCCAGTCTAGGAGCAAAATGCGGCATGGCCAACATTGCTTATGTAACCCGCACGTCAACCTCGACCAACAGTCGGGCACAGGCGCACATTCCATTCCCAGCGTTGCTGTCAGCTGGCTTGGGCCATCCCGGACAAGAGAAGAAAGCACACGGCTGATGAAGCACACTTTGCAACAGACGCGAGACATCTCGCCGTCCTATAAATAGAGATCGTCATTTTGAAACGGGAAAGAAGCAAGCAGTGCGATGGCCCCCCCATCCCTCCATATCACCGCTCCACAACAAAATCAGGTTCAGGTTCTTTTCCATGCTGTGGTAGGTGGCTCAAACTTGCTATACCGCAACAAACACAGCAGGGAATGCTGCCCTCGGACGGTGATTTGCCCGGCCTGGCACCAATCGACCAAGTTACTTGGATGTGCTCACAGTTCTTCGTCTTTCTGTCTCCTCTGCACAGTGAACCACTTCCCAGAACTGCCCAATGCCAGGCCCCCCAAGCTTTGAGGCGTATTGGCCAACTTGGCCACAGGGGGTACAAGGCACTAAGCTGGTGGACATCAGGCCCAAGTGTGCTTTTGAAGAACTGGTGGACCATCTTTGGGCGCCCGGATCGAAATTTCAGGTGTGTGGGGTTGCTCATGGCTGCTGGAGAGGGGTTCCGGATGCCTGTCAACTGTGTCACATTTATGTATCTGGAAGCAGGCATTGCAAGTATCTCTTGCTTTTGCAAAGGGGTGACAACTGCCTCCTCTACTCTTGATTTTGAGTGTACAGGACATAGACCATCAGCTGACAACGTTGACATCAGGCATGTGCAATTCGATTTCATGTTCCAGTAATGGCCTCATAACAATGACCATGTCAGAGGCTTGCATGAAATCCTGGCACCAGGGAAGGAAATGTGTGACAATGCCAAGTATATGGCCAAGCACATTGACAACAGCTGGCACAGGCATGGCCCACGTGCCAAAGCAGCACCCCCGGCACAAGGCTTGCTCAAAGTTGCTTACTGCTTGTGTCATGTTCCACAGGAGGATGCCAACCACGCTCGAGGGATGACTGACTGTGTGTCCACAGCCTGGGTCGAAGACATTAATTTGCTGCCATGTCTGCCTGGCGGATACAATTGGAATGTGGAAACAGCTGACCATGACATGAACGAATCACCTGACTGTTTCTATGCTGGACTAATGAGAAAGGTGATTGGAATCAGCTGTGCTGTGCTTGCTTGGTCTGTGCATGGGGCATCACTGAAAGCGATCACCAAATTCCAGTCATGTCTGCAGCAATAGCTCAAAGAGCTTCTTTCTGTATAGTTGCAACTTTGGCCGACCTGCTCACTGTGCATGTCTGCGCACTGGCATCGACAACGCCTAGTCACAGCTGCGTTTGCTCTGGGGCAAGGTGTCACATGTATCTTTGTTGCCCTCCCTGTCCTTCTAGGTGCGCTTTGCACAAGGTGGAGTGGCAGTTTGCAGTCAGCCCTTCAAGGGAGAGGAGCTGCAGCGATGTGTCGAGTACTGCCATGGAGAAGTCATGACTGTTGAGGCTTGTGTTTCGAATTCAGCGCCAATGTGTGAAAACATGAGGGTGGTGGTCAGGTCAGCGCAAGATGATGCCAGTTGGATTGTAGTATTGTCGACTTTGAATTCGAATACTGAATTGACTCAATGTGTACACACAATTTGTACTACGAATAACAATGAAATCGCAGTCATGTGTACTGTCCCCTCTCTTACAAAGCGTGTATGTGTCGAATTTTTTGACTGTTGAACATGCTGGTGACAATTTTTATTGACCATTGTTGGCATCCTCCTGAGTCTGTCCTAAAGTAAAGCCTGTTGCCAAAGCCATGTCTGCATCCAAATGCGAATCATGCTCACACGATATTCATGTCCTTTAGTGCTCAGATTGCACTGCAATTTTCCTTTACCTTGTCGCAAATTGGCTTGCTATTGTGATGTGAACAACTGAAATTACCTTGATCATAGTAATAATCACTTTGGGCGCATGTGTAATAGCACACTTGATCCACTGGTGTGCCTATTCGCTCATTCTACAAAAGACGAGCTGGTATTATCAGTTTCACATCGTCAGTAGGTGAGGCCGCTGTGCGCTGTCCAATATTGGTCAACCATAGCCCGAAGCTTTTCGGGTTAGAGCATTGTGTAAATGCAGCACCAGAGTCGGAACCGACTCTGGCGCTAAACTCACGGTGAGGGCTCGGCAATGCCCATCTTTATGAGTTCGATCTCAGAACTTTTCGGCGCAGGGCATGACCAATGTCAATCGCTGAGCGCACGAGCGGCGTGGAAATCGAACGAGAACTTGGAACTGCTCACGAATTTGAATTCCGCTTTGAGTGCACAGAACGAATTCTGACCAAATTGTACCTGTTCCTGTGCCTCGGTGATGTGGTTCAATTGCCCTGCCCTCGTAGTTCTAAAACATAAATTGTGTGCACGCATATTCTGCGAGTCGTCGTAGAGCCTTCCTTCCTCTATTTTCAGTGGGAGTACCTGCAGAGCCTCCTGGCGAGTTCACCACATCCGTGCAATTCTTGATTGGTAATATTTAGAATACAATCAAAGAATAACAGAGCGGTTTCTTCGTAGAGACCTTTGCTGCAAGTGCACACGCAATCGGTGGTCCTGAGACGTTGGACAAGGGGCCTGATTCTGGGAGTATTTGTGGCGCAGGTACAACCTTCAGTCACTGGGCAGAAAATGCACGCAATTGAGAGTAGAGTATCATGTAATATACGTTTCGCCGACCAACGGATTGTTAAAAGTAGTTTTGGAAAAGGGAGCAAAAGGTGAGTTTTCTTGCTTGCACATTTAGAATGGGCTGTGCTTGACACGGTAATTGGTGAATTCTTGTCTTGGACCACTCTCCCGGAATCAAAGCCCATGCATTGTGTGTCCCGGGGTCCTGCATGTGCACATAATAATCAGAACCGCGGTCAAATATTAGTCGATAGTTGGGCCCCATCTGGGGTTGCTATCGTGAATGCTCTCGATGCAGCAGGTTGCCGTGTGCACAGGAGGAGTTCTGGCTTACTGACAGTGCATTTGGCTAAAGGGCATTGGGGAACCCTGCTCACATGGCCTCATTGAGAGCATGTGCTTTTACTGTGCTTGTTTCCGTGTGGTCCCTTTCCGCAATCCGCGTTCTACCCTGCAAGCAAGCACACCATCAGGAATAATTGCTTCAGCAAGCGGTGTTCCCCACTAGGCGGCCTGCTGAAGAACTTTGAGATCTACGTCCAGATCTTGTCGAACTTTGCTCCCCTGGAGAGCGGCAATGAAGAAGAGGAAGCCGGTGACATTTCAAGACTTTGTCCAAGCAGCAACGCAAAGTTTCCAGCGGCACAAGTTGAAGCCAGGTGTGCTACTAGCAGGCAGCCATCTTTGTCGCTGGCCATTTTCTCATGCATACGTGCTGCACATGCGTATCCACCTTGAGTATCGATTTCAATTATGACAAGGCCTACAAGGAACTTCGGTGTTTGCAGTCAGGCGAAATTAGGGCAATGTGGAGGAGAATGTCTGGTCTCAAAAGGCGACATGACTCTTGGGGAGCCAGCCTTGCCATACCCTGAAACTGTTGTGCTCTTGTGGCTGTGTGCTCTTCTTGTGAACTGTGACATCCAAACTGTGGCCTGTGGCGCAGACGAAAAAGGATCTTTTACTCTCGCATGCAGCCCGATTTGGCAGCTTTCAGAAATCGGTTCCACTGCAAATATCGGAATATGCAATATTCGTCTAACTTGCTATGGTTTTTTGTTGTTATTCCTATTTACAAATCGTGTTACTGTGCACACTTTATTTGCTGGTTTAGCACTGTTTTTGCACGTGTGGATAATATGCGCAGCAGTGTTGAATACCAGGTGCGTGTGCTTCGCTGAGCAGACTTTCCTTAATGCTGCAGTCAAGCTCATAATGGACCACGAAATGTACCCTTTCGTCATATCCCTATGGTGGCTATACGATATCGGCGATGTGTTCGTGACAATCGCGCACACGTTCTCTGCTGCGCTGTGCTGCAGACACAGCGTCGCTGGATTGAACATGCAGCCAATCGCCGCATCGCCGATTTCATGGTCCCGTCTGGCGCCCCGCGACCTAGCTTCCGTGCTGTGCGTCCCAATTTGCTCAGCCCTGCAGCGCCTTGAGCGCCTGGAGCCCTTCGAACGAGCGAAGGAGCACCTGGCGATGGAGCGGTTCCGACACCAGGATGGCCAAATCCTGTCACAGATGTTAGCATGTGTCATGCTCTTAGTCTTGCTGAAAATTTGGATCCTGGTGCTGCGGTCGGTCCACACGGTGTGTGACGGCTTCCTCGTGCTGAGGCCATTTTGCGGGTCAGGGAGCATCCTTGCGGCAGACATTCCTGACGGGCTCCAAGAGGTTCTTGCGGCCATGGTGAGAAAGTTGGTGCAGTGCCGCCCGAGTTAGATCTAGATAGCCGCGTTCATTTGGCTCAAAATGAATCTGGCAGATTTGATGTCTTCTGTTTCGCTGGCTGTTTCTGGGACTAGTCCTTCCGTGCAACAGTTTCGCTGCGCTGGGATCTGGTGCGCGCTGAACTGACTTCCGTTGTCCATCAGCTTCGGCTGCCAAGTGCATTCCATTGTCGACACGTGCCGGGGCCAAGTTTCAAACTTGCTGTCATTTCCAATTCACTTTAGTGGTAGAGAACCTAACAGGAAACGCAATAAGAGAGGGCGCTGGGAAGCGCGGAAAGAAAGCGAAGAGGAAGATCGATTCAGATCACATTGACAGCGTGGCGGTCATCGCTAGATCCACAGCACCAGTTCCATGATGCTTGTCAGTCTCCACTTGCTGACAAAGGTTGCAATGTGTGCAGGCAATGGTCCAAATCGCCCACTGGTTCCTGGGTGCCCTGGCAAGATCATACAGGAACACCCACGCACGCGCGCGAGGCTCATGGGAGTCACAGGCTGATTCCGCAGATGGCGGCGCCATCGAAGGGCAGTCCTATTTGTCTCGCATCGTTTCGTGCTCAAGGCTCGCCGTGGTCACGGGGGCGCTTACCCTGGAGGCGATGAGCAATCCCGGAATAGGGACCATTCCAAAGCACAAGGGTCGTCCTCATAAGCCTCGACGTTCAGGTTGGGACTGATTGGGCGCATATTTCTGGCATTTGTCCCTTGGACACCCCGCAGATCGTTCTCCTCATATTCTGTCGATCTGTGAGCGAAAATATCAACTTTAGATGGGCATTGTATACGTCTAAGTTGCGGCCAGAGGACCTTAGTCATTTGGCTGGAGCAGTGCATTGGGATACCTGGCTTAGCGGCAGCTTGAGCAGCACCCAGCTGTCTTAGCGATTGCTGGGAGCTTCGCCACCCTTTCACAGCAGTTTATTTATCTATAGTTCCACAATACGTTGCGCCGAAATGTTTTTACGGAGCATTTTTTAAGTGATGCAGTCTTGATATCCGTGACAGGAAGTCAGGACTTTAATGGCCATGATCAACGGCATTTTTATGTTGGGAACATCAAATGGTGCAGGGAGACTTAGGAATTGTGATCCCAGATTTCAGGTAGTTATGTCGACAGTACTCAACTGATTCTGATGTCATAATGCATGTCGGCATTAGCTATTGATAGCTTTCACAAGCACTCTGGCCATCACTTCACTGTCAGCCGCAGTATTTCCACCTACCCGGGACCACACTATGAGCCACTAATTAGAGTTATATTCTTGTACTTAAGGTCATTAGGCATTTACAGAGCAACGAAATCAAACAATTTACTGCAAACGTGTTTATGTACGGGGAAAATCAGCGACGCCGGACAGTCACCCAGCTGGCTTATTATCAGGTGTATTTATTAGCGACTCGTCAAGCCGGGACCCCTAGTGAACAACTGTTTGAATGATTGGCAAACCAGTACCCTTGCACCTCAAAGGTGATGGTGAACATTATTTCATTTCCGATGTTCACCCGAGGCCCTTGCGCGTTTTCGGAATTCTAGCATGGAAGTCATGTGTTGTGTTGCCCAGCAGTCGAGTTTGAAGCACCCGAGGTTCATGAGCAGCAGGCGACGGGGCATCAAGAAGAGCCCGTTGAGTTGAAGGAAATTGATAGGGTAGTGGAGGAGATATTCGAGAACGAGCGCTGCATGCCTTTCCGGGTATGGAAAACAACGGAGGCATAGCCGAAGTTCCGCACCCTACACGTCGGATCATTGTTGTACTTCTTTTATAGTATGTGTTCAACAAACTGAGATTTGCGCATTCATGCCAGCAGCAGGCGTCGCAGGGCAACTGGGCTAGTTTGATAACTGTGGTGATTAGACGACTGCTTGCATGGAAGGTGCCTGGGCTGGCTCGTGGCAGCTGAGTCGCAGTGGACGCCGGGCGCCCGAATGCACCAATGGTTGTTGCGGAGAGGGGAACTGCGCCATGTCCTTGGGACTCTTGGCCACATTGGAGGGTGATTGAAATTAGCTCGTTCGTGACGGGGAGCGCCATGCGAAAAACAACGTGTATGCATGCGCCAAGAGTGCAAATACTACTAGCCCTTCCCGTGTGCAGATAATCGGGTCCTGGGAAATGGAGAATTGTGGGGTTGGCGCTCCCTGTATGTGTGCCTCGGAGTCAATGGCTTTGCCATGGCGGATCTGATCAGTTCTGAAATTGTGTGTCATGATCAGCGGCGCTGTCCTGCAATTGAGTGAGTTAGATGTTCTGAAAGTATCTGGGAATGCACAATGGGGATTTGCATTGCTGCAACCGGGCGGTGTGCAATACACGAGGCTGCAATGATTTGCACAGACGCGAGAAGCGGAGCTACGAAAACGCGAAATGCAGTGGCGACGCAACACCCCCCATCACATATTATGACAGTAATGCGCGTCCCCAGAAATTTGTGTTTGAATTTGCAGGGATGGGGCCACACGCCACCGCACTTCCTCCGGACGGACAGGCTTCGCCACTGGAGTCTGAGGTCCCTGGCTCCCAGCAGCATGGAATTCTCTGATGTTGAACCTGTCCTTCCGGAGGGCTGGTGCTGGGAGGAGCCTGAGTGGGAGGTGAGCTCACATGCGAGATAAACAGGGATGGATATAGACAAGCGGTTTGGCGCCCAATTAAATGGTGTTTGTGTGCTTTGTGCCAGCTGCTGTTTTCAATGTGATAAACCATGCATTGGTGCCTCGCCAACACAGTTGCAGGTCTTTGGCGCTGGTGTCCTTGCTACAATGTTGATGCCTGACAGATCTGCTGGTGCAGTGGAGATTTCACGCAACACTGCGCGCACCGGACAAAAGAAAACTGCACTCAGGAGACCTTCTTTGGCCACAAGTGCACGTCATGTTTTCAAAACCCATATTCCAGTCCTGGGTAGCCACTGCGCATGTTGTAGACCTCTGAATCCATAACAGCAGCATTCCCGTGTAAGTGCAGTTGCGCTTGCACATGGCCAACAGGGATGCAACCATGAATCACTGGAAGCGGTTCAATGGGCTTCTTGCGTCAGTTGCTTGTCGGCTTTGCGTTGCGCAGGTGGACATGAATGGCAGAGATAGCCAGGCTGTGGATGAGGACGGGTGGATGTATGCTGTGCAGTTTAGTGGGCTGGTGTTTCCTCCATCTCCAGGAAACGGAAAGAAAACAGCAGCTACTTTCGTCCGACGGAGGAGGTACGCTTGCAGTTCTGTGGCTATTGATTGGGAGTCTTCCCATGCCATACCAGCTGCTTTCCTGGCACCCACTAGCGTGCATCGCATTCGTTGAAGCAGGGTTCCGCACCAGCGTCTATCGTTTCACTGACTCTACTTTGTGCGCGCTGATGTGAACAACCGAGCAGTCCCCACAAACGTTTTGACAAGGTGTTAGCCTTATGTGACGTGCAAAACGTTGAACCCTGAATAGGTGAGTCAGAGAAGTGCCCAGCCAGTCAATATTTGTTCCATTGTGGCCAGAAGCCCGTCTGCTTAGTCCGCTCCCTCGAATAGGTCTATGAATAGTGGCATGTGAGCAAATTGACGAATGCGCAGCAGGGCAAAATCCACGTACTTCCAGCACCGATCCGCAACATTCGAGTGTCCCAAGCTCTTGGGTACCTTTGATGGCCATTGCGCTTGGCGATATGTTTGATTAATTTTTCAGTGTTTTATATCTTTTTCCAAGGCGATTCAGGAAGCATTTCGCGGCTGGCAGGTGGATACGGACTCGAACAAGAACGGAGTCAATGGGAACGCCATCCAAGGCCGAACGTGGATCCTTCGCCGCAGGGGCCGAAGCGGAAGCGGAGGGCGGCGCGCTGAGCCCTGCCAAAGACGCTCCGTCTAAGACGGAGAGCCTGCCGCGGTTGTGCAAGAAGGGAAATAGGGACAGGGCGGGTAGTTTTAAACCAGCACACTTCTGGGACGGGGAACTGTGGAGCGCAAATTTCTGGTGTGGGGGGCCGAAGGGAAGGCACAAGGGAACGTTGTCTGCCGGTAGCGCGAAGGAGATTGTGTCCGGCGCTGCCGATTGCCCAACTTTCGACCGGAGGAAACGTGAGTATCACCATTAGTAATAGCAGTGATTGATTTGTAATTATTGGCTGATGGATTGTATGCAGAGGACCATTAGACCTATTGAAAGGTCTACAGCTGGCGGCTGCATGGTGGCGTTTTGTGTAGCAGTTTGTGATTGGAATTTTAGTTGGCCCGTGTCAATTGTAAAACACATATGTTGTGGAACGGATACCGCGAGTCGCAGTGGAGATTGTATGGTCATCACTGTCAATCGTTTCGTCACTCATGCATTTGGCAATGGCAGTGAATAATTCTGAATGAGTCGTCTCTAATAAGGAAAAGAGAATGCGTGTCTGTCACCGTTTCTGTCTCCCCTCCGCGAGCGAGATTGTCGCCATTCTTTGCCATGCCGTGGAGGATGATATGAGACTATCAGGAGTCATCAAGAACTTCGATTAGAACCAAGGAGTATGGTAGTTGTAAATTACTACTTCCTCGTTAAATTAGTGCATCCTCGTTGTCATCGCCATCAGCGTATAACGGAGCAGCAACGGAGCAGACAAGCATGCGAGCAGGTATGACAATGGATTTGGGGCAATGCTTTGCGCAATATGTGATCCATACGTCTGCACGTTTGTTCGCAGAACTTATCAGTGCATACATTGAAGCATCGAAGTTATTTGTGCGTAACAAACGCGCCAATCTTGAAACGGTGGTTTGGCGAACACGAAAAGGGCATTCGGGTATAAAAGGTCAATGCTCCAGGAAGACTGCACTGGGTACACAACCCAGAAATGCTCGGCGGCGGCTGTGCTTGATTGTCCAATCACTGTCCAGACACAAGTTGGAGGGATTATTTTTTTCTTTTCCTGACAGGAAAAGAATATCCTATAATCACAGTGTGATTATGTGGGATCTGCGGACTCCATGAAATATGTTGTGCCTCTTGATGCCTACCAATGACAGGACGTCACTCCACTCAATAGAGATTTTGGCCATTCGTCGCCACACCTCCGAATGTTTTCGGGCTCAACCTGGTTCAGCAGTGCTTGAAGCCATCCCAGTGGTTCACCCCTGTGCGCCCCTGTGATGGCATATGGGGCTGATTCAATCGGCTTCACAGGAAACGGCGACTGGTGACGCATGTAGCCGGCAATGTTTTCAAGCGTCGCGGGGTGCGCTGAGCCTTCGAGGCGTTCACCTCACAGAGAACAACTTGGGAGCGCATTTCCTGCGCGAATGCTGCGAAAATTTAAGTTGGAGTTGGCTGTCCACAAGTGGCCCGAAAAGGCGGGAAACTGTGGTGATGGACACATGCGGACAGCCGCGCCGATGGCAAAGCCTCAGTTGAGTAAATGATGAAAGGCGGCATGGCGCAACGCAGACCATCCGCCAAACGAAAAAGTCCACATGGCCGACAACATGCCAAGAGCACGAGCAGCTGATTGTTGTTCGGTTGGCTGTCGGGGTAGCATAATGCGCAGGCAACGTCGAAAGGCTGGCTCCGCTGGTTGCATCAATGGGCACACGTGAGTGACTAATTGAGTGTATAGTGTTCGTGGTGTATGAATGAAGAAGCCACAGGGCCTTGTAATCCATGGATTTTGATGATGATGAAGAAGCCCGCATTCAGGATTCTAGGTGTGCAGATAGGGTAGAATATGGATGTGGGGAATCGGGCAGTATGGGGCGAAGGACCCCTGACAATGTAATATGGACAAGCCGAACATTGCAAGGGGACCGAAACACTGCAAGAATGCAGGCAAAAGGCATTGTGTTTTCAATACTTATTCGTTGATTTCTCGAGCATTGTGATGTGCTCAATTATGCAACGAATGCCCGATGCCCTCATTTTCAGACATGAATGTAATGAAATCCATTCTCGGGTTCTGTTTTAGTTTTAGTTTTTCAAGGCTTATTATTTGGGGCCCTCGTACACTCCTGGACCTTCATGGCCGCTTCGTGACTTTCATATACGGAAAACATGGTTATCAGAGATACCACGAATATGCAGCACACAATATTGGTCTGTTCCGGTCCACAAATATCCAGTCCAACAACAATACCTGAATGGCTGTGCGGCATATAGAGACGCTTGTGAGCGGACGCAGGCAGGGCATGGGCACTCATCCCCACATTGTGGTGTGAACTAAATTGCCGGTGCATGTGTTTTGGCAGTTTGAGAACGGAAGGAATTCAAGGATTATAACCTAATGCCCGTTCTTGACACTTCCCGCAGCAATCCTCTCATCGCCGGTGAACTGGACCCGAACAGTTTGTACAGGGAACTTGCAGCCCAGCTACTCTGGCGTCATGTGTCACAGCTAATGGAAGTTGTCCTCAAACACACGCTCACAGCGCAAATTAATGCACAAATAGCCTTAGTGCCGTTTATCAGAGCGACCTTTGTTCCTGTGTGAACAACAGGTTGGGACCATCAGACCAGTGGATAATGTTGTACCTGTCCCATGAAACGCAATCGTAGGCAAGAATGCACTGCAACATTCCAAGTACAGGTCAACCAACCAGAAGCACTAGAATCTGCCAATTGAATAAATCCAACACGAGGCATCGCCCCTCCTATGTCCTTTGTCCTTTATTCTTTCTTCTTGCACATCCGTAACCAGATTCTGTCAGAAGATTTCCACACACACATACCCAAAAAAAAAAAAAACACGAAAGAATCCGAAGGGCACCAGATCATGCTCCCCCTGTTGAATCTGGCGGGTCGCTGTATCCTGTCTGCGATCAGGACGCAGGGGCGGCCATGGCGTCGGGGCACCTTGTGGGTGCTAGCCCGCTAGCGCAGGACGCTCGGCGCAGCTGCGAGGCGGCGCACGGCCGCACCGCACGGCCACCACCCGCGGCCTCGAGGCCGCGCCTGCTGAGACATCCAATGCCCGCCGTGCCCGCCGCTCTGTCAGGGGCAAACGCCGCGGGTCCGCGGCTGCGCTGCTCGGCGACTCAACGGGAGGTAAGGAAAAGGATGGGCGGCCGGCCGGGCATTGAGCGAAAGCCCGGAGGCGTTCTGAAGAGTTTCAATGGTGAATTGGTGCTGCCAGGCTCGCGCAGTAGGTGGGGGTTGGAGGGGGGGAATTGGTGAATGCTGGCGATGTCGCTTGGCTCTTGGTTTCCAGAGGATAGTTGGAGTTGTCGCTGTTCCGCAAATTTATAGCGACAGGGCGGTTTTCTTCCTGCATCGGGAGGATGAGCGTGTTGGAATGCTGCATTGCATGCGTGTTCTGAGCCATGCACGAGGTTCTGTTGGTCTGAAGGAAACTACCGTTCGCAACCCCTTGAGGTCCACGCCGTGAAGCCATGTGGCTGCGATCTGATGTGACCTGGAGACATTTGGACCTTGTGGGCACAAGTTGGGCTTAGTAACGTGCTGTTTCTGTCTTGACGTGTTTGACGTTAGTCAGGGTGCATACTATTGCAGGGGGATCCCAATGGCACATCTGAGGAACTGGGGCCTGGACAGCCAGCAGGACAGCCACAAGAATCCTCAGATGAGGAGGTGTGTTTTCATTGTCAATTCTCTGGGCTCCGAGGTCACGAATCCATTTTGTTGACTGTCATTTTATTCACAACAATTTGTAAGAGAACGCATCATTCAAGAAGTTCGGCTCACATCGGTACTTTTCGTGAATTGAGTTCCTGTGATATGGTTTTTGTGACACAGCGATGCTTCAGATGTATGGCTCATAGTCGACTGTGGTGTTGTTCCCTTTAGAATGTAAGGAATGTCACCTGAATTTGGAGTGCGCTGTTGTTCTCATTCCTGCCCAATGCACAAAAGCGCCCATTGTGCAAAAGACAAAAGTGCCTGCTATTGTTCAGTCTGCACAAGCGTGCAGATATCTGCCAATTGCAAGTGCCATTGTACACAGTACATGTCCTGGATGCAATTTAATTGTGCCAAGAAATGCATTCGGCAGTAGTGGGATCCTGATTGAAGTATCGATTGGGCACTCCCTTAGGACCATAGTCCCATTGGATTATCAGGCATCTTGAAGTTTCCTGTGCGAGGATAAGAGGCAACAGAGTGTGGGGTAATGAAACAGCAAGCACAGGGCTGATACCCATCTTTTGGCTGGAATGGTGCTTGGAATTTAGATGTTGTCCAAGCACAAAGATATGGACCATGGTGCATTCTCCAGTTTGGAAGATGTAAAGGGTTTTCCAAAGGACAGCTCAATTTTTTCAACGTTGTGGTAGCATTGTGGGTGGAGATACGTCCAGTTGTCAGCATGTGTAATTTTGCGTCTTGATAATAGCTCTTGGCGTTGCTTCTTGAGTTGCTGAAGAGTATGCACATGTTAAACATCGTTTAAGGATTTTACATCAAAGCTCCTGACTGAAGTCTGTCTGTGAGCAATAATGGCGGAAGAGGCATTGCATCAATGGACATGTTGTCAGATATGAGTACATCCAGTAATGCTAGATGTGTTGAGTGCACAGGAACATAGTGCTGCTTTGGTCCATAAATTGAGCAGTTCCAAGGTAGCAGCACTGATTGTATTGTGTGCAAATGGCTTCAGGACAATGATCACGTTGCGACTTGACCTTTCTGTGACATTCCAGTTGTGCAAGCACAGTGCTTGGGAGCCACTACGAGTCACTATGAGTGCGCTCAGCTTCTTCCCTTGTGTTGCACCGTAGCTCTCCTCTTCTGACATGCAGCCAGCAGCTGACGGCTCGCAGAGTAGCGACCACATATCCAGAGTCCTGTCAAACGTGGACACTTTGAGGGAGGTGACAAGTGCCAAAGATGCAGATGATGCCCTTGAGGTTGTGGCTGGAAAGTTGGACACCATGAGGGAGGACGACCATCAGCCAGTCCTGGAAGAGAGGCATGGAAGGCAGATATTGGATGCCTGCCTGGAACGAGGCTCCTTTAATTTGGCATTATCCATTTACGAGGCGATGTGCACAAGTTCAAGCACAGGGCCAGAGATGGCCACTGGAGGCAGCCTGTTCTTGAGGTGGCCAAGGGCAGGAGAAGAGTCCACTGCTGCACTTGTTGTGGGGTTGTGCAGGCTGCTGCGGGTCGCAGATGCCATGGAGGCCTTGAATGGTGTGCAGAGGCAGGGAATGCCCAAGTCAGATGAGGTGCCATTTGGGCATGTTGTTACCTGCCCAGTGCCCCCATATGCACCCCTGGGAGTTGTTCAGCCACAGGAGGGGGTGAAAACTGTGGCCTGTGCCAGCAGCCGCTATGAGTTCGAGCTGTTCTCTGGCACTGTCGTTGAGGTGTCTTCTGAGGTGATGCCAGCTGCGGGCAACCTCCTGCTCATGGCCATGAACACAGTGCGGGTATTTGGGAAGCCTGTGGGTGCAGTCCATGAAGTGGTCGTCCGGACGCCAGCCGGCTCTGCCAGGACTTTCCGCTTTGGGACCGAGTTGACTGATGTGCCAGCACAGAAGGGCAATCGCGTCACTGTGGTCTGTGCGCCAAGCCGCCCATCAGGGCTGGCAGGACTGGACCATAACCCAGCAGGCACCAGGCCTGGGGAACCGATGGCCATGTCCAACCATTCCACCGGGGTGACAACAGAACTTCTCCGAGCACCTCCCAGAGGCCAAACACCCGGCTTGCCAGGGTGGCTGCTGCCAACTGCGATCGTCCTCGTCGGCACTGATGCTGCCAGCTCGCTGATTGATCCGAAGTTCCCGCTGCTGGGGGCTGCAGGTGTTGCGGCACTGCTGGCTGCCGGAGTTGCAGGCAATCAGGTTCTGCTTCCGAAACTGAAGCAGCTGCCAGAGGGGTCTTTGCAGTTGGAGACTGTGCAGCAGAAACTGCTGGGACAGCACCAGGAGCTGCAGGCCAAGATAGGAAGCCTTCTACAGGGCTGTGAAGAAGATATTCGAACATTGGCCAGGTTGGGATGGGACCCACTCTATTCAAAGCAGGATAGCAGTGAAAATGGCACCTGCTGGCAACACATCCTTTAAGACAGGCAGGCTGTTGATGCAGTCCATCCACACAAGCACTTGTAAAATATCCAGTCGGCTGGTTTATGGCTTTACATGCACAGCATGGAATGTTGTGGTTCTAGTTGTCACAAAGCTGCCCAGCTGACTATTACCAGCTCTGGTTGTGTCCTCAAAGGCAACTAGTATGTATGACAGCGTAATCTCAAAAAGGAAATGCATGTGCTGAAAACCGCATATGGGGCTTGATCAGTAAGCGTACTAATCGTGATCTTGAGGTGTCTCCAAACGTATCAAGCATACCGAATGTCATATCTGTTCTTTTCTACAACCACAGGGCATGTTGTGTGAGCAATGAAATCTGTTGTTGCAGTTGGACCGATATGCAACACAAGCTGTTGCTGCTCTGCCCAGTCTTCGAACTCTATTGAACTGGCTTCCTTTTGCAATTCTATGGCCAGGCTGTGGCAGCTAAGAACAAAGATGGCCTCGGTTGGAACATCAGGCAAGTACGATACACGGCTGGAGCGCACAGAGCAGGCCTGCAGCAATCTAGAAGCTAGGCTGAGCAGCAGAGTGAAGCTCTTGGATGGCTTCTGTAGAGTGGCCAAAATGATTGAGATAGAGGTGGAGATGGATGCTGAGGTGCCATCAGCTGAAGTTCAGGGAATCGTACAGCAGATAGAGCAGCTGGAGGACCTGGAAAGGATACAGAGGGAGATGGCTTATCAAGTGGAGGCACAAGAGGAGGTTGGCAACCAATGACGCAAATTCTGTATCAAAATCCACAATTGAATTGTTCAACTACACCTAATAACTGCAGGTTGCTGTTATTTGCAACATTGTTTGCCCCCCAGTATCATCTGGGAAATCCAGCTACCTGAAACATTGAATGCAACCCAAATTGGAAAAGAAGTATTTTCACCAGTAGGGGAAAAGATGCTTGATATGATCACATTGCACCTGGGTACTCTGCATTAGGCAGTGTCAAGGGCTGTCCAACCTGCTTGGATTTTGTTGCCATATGTTTGGCCATGACGGGTTGCCTATGTTTCTTGGCCATTTGCCGCATGCGCTGCTTGTACCCCTCCCTGCAATGTACATCCAATTGCCAGCTTCTTGGCCAGCGGACTAGTTAGATGAGCATGGTTGTGTTCCTCTGATCAGGAACAGCAGAAGCCGTTTCCAGCCACATTCAAAAGTTGCTTTCACATTCGTTAACCTATCCGTGTTCATTTTTCAAGTGGCGAGACCTGGTGTGATGTGGTTTGTAGGTCGAGCGACTTCTGAGAGCCTCGTGATGATGGGCGGCCGCATTCCTCATGGTCCTCGATTTGTAGGCCGCGACAGGGCGCCCGCTTAGCCCTTTCTATTTTCGGCCCGCGGAGTGCGGACGACAGTTGTGCGCAACTTTCTTCTCTAGACTTGAAGTTTAACGATTGCAACAGAATTTGATGTTTTCGAAGTGAACTATTGTTTTGTCGTATTCCTTGTGTAACGACTGCATGGAAGGGGGCCGCAGGGGTTTGCTGTTCAAATGCACGCGCTGGGATTCTGAAACAACTTTATTGCAAGAAAATTACAGCAGGTTTGCTGAGGGCCTGCGCGGTGCTCCTGAACGTATGGCTGGTGTGTCACAACACCGACACCAACTTGGGCAGCCTGGGCACACCAGTTGGGTACATTCCATGTGCGCCTGGAACGCCACTGGAAATGTCAGGTCAGGAAGACCAGCGCAGCGGTAATACAAACTGGCGTGGAAGGAGCGGGAGCTGTGTAATTGTCAATCGTGATGTGATACAGTGGGGTACATATATGCCGCCCCCTCAATAGCGCCCGGCCCCCAATAGCGCCCCGATTATCGGTTTGGCACCATTTCTGCAGTGCATCATACAGCTCTGATGTGCGACGAGACCCCAAGCCAGGACATTGGACACTGAGTCGCACCCAAAACAGGTGTTTGGCAGACCCGCGACGTTCCATAATTCATGCGCAGAGTTGGGAACTGACCTAAGCATTGTACGAGGTGTTGGTGGCCACGACCAGCCAATATTGCCACACAACCATTCCTGTCATGCACTGTGCAGTGACATTTCAAGTTTGCAGCACCGTGAGATTCATTACCTGCGTTGGGATCTCAAGACAATCTGTCAAGCATTGCCTTGTGTTGAAAATTGGAACCGAACAGTGACAAGTAAAGTACGGACAGTGCCCTGGGTGCCCAACAAATGGTCACCCGATCAGATATTAGTCCATGAATTCAACAGGAACACCGCCACACAGCGGTATGTTACTACACCAGCCCGCCTTATGCGATGCAGCACTGGCCGGCACAACCCGTTCAGCATTCATGATGCGGGCAATGCAGCGCAAATCAATGTGCAGATCGACGCGATGTTACAAGAACTGTGTTCGATGTTGTCATTGGAGTGGTTCATCACAGGTTCATTTCCTTGCATTTTTGCTAGTAATTTGCAAATCCACAAGGACTCGGAAGTACCACGCCATTGCGGGCCTCCAACACAAAGGCTCCAACATTGTCGCATTGTTGCAGAGGATACGCCAATGCGATGGGTCAATCTGGCGTTAAGCAGCCCGTATCTCGACCAACAGGTGTTGTACTGCACAGAAAGTGAATGGAGATCCCTTTTTGACATATGAAGTTATGACTAAATGCATTAAATTGTGTTAATTTTCCGGCGCCCAGCCCCCAATAGCGCACTGTTTTTATCCATGTCACAGGTGGGCGCTATATAAGTACCCCCACTGTAGATCACGATGTGTCAGGCAATCTGCACATAACGCGAACAGAAGGCGGTGCATCAATGTCCGAAGCGATGTGACACTATTCTGAAAAGCGACATCTATTTGTTCATGATGAAGTCCACTCCCTCTGCTATTCGCGATGGAAGGGCCGCCACAACACATCGATACAGAAGTTTTCAAACACAAGCCCCAGAAGCCGCACATCCGGGACGCTTTGGTTGGAGTTGGTGCAGCAACGCGGGGGGATGGGGGGTGGGTAGTGTGGGGGGTGGTTGCAGTGAAAGCCACAAATGTACAGTCTTCATTAGATTGGCAGAAACTCGCGATGCAGCTGTCTTCCACGAAGTTCGTATAGGATCGTGTCTGTTCGAACAAAACACATACGACCTGCAAATCTTTGCCTGAAAGTCGACATTGACCTTGCAGGCGCTGTCGTATGGGCAAAACCCGTATCGATGCCAATGGAATCCAGGTCGCTGGTGATGCCCTGCAGCTCGCTCGGCTATCGACCGGGCCTCCACTAGAGGCGGTGACGAATAGCTATGATTGCAAATCACCACGGTCCATTCCAATGAGAACAGGAGTGGCGCATCTGAGAATGGAGACGGTGGGAGTCCTGTCAGGGGCCAGGGCCAGGGGAACCTCAGCTCGGAGGGCCATCGCTTTCGCTGTGACAGTAAGGCACCAGGAGGCACTGTATCTTGAAAATGGAAGGAACAAGGAAACGGTGTGTCAAGTTCGCTGGGGGCGGTTCAAGAGCTGGTCACGATGTCATATCAGGAACGAGCCCATGACAGTTTGATCATTGACTTTTGGCCAATAACATACATACTTCAAACATTTTCTCGCATCTCTGTATCTTGAACATATGCAATGTGGCCACTCACTCTGTTGGGCCACATGGTCCGCGATCAGAGCGTGCACGTTGTGCTCTGATTCGAAGAGTCAATCCACACACAAGAAAGTACTCGCAGCTGAACGTTACACTGACCAAACGTGAGCGATGATGATACAGCGACGGAAATCAACATGTGCACAATCAAAAAACGCCGGAGAGCATCAGCCCCAACATGACGTGGATATACCATGCATGGTACGAATTGAGTTCCAACTATCTCCAACAGCATGCCGCTTGCCCTGAATCCTTGCAAAAATAATTCCCACAGGTAACCATTAGATGACCAAGACTGTTGTCAAGCTACATTGCCATGTTCACACAACTAAGCACAGAGAAACAATGGCGGTGAGGGAGTCAAGCCATGACCACGGCCGTCCGACTGTCTGGTCGTCACGATCGCCTCCACGCCAAGAGGTTGCGAAACATGGACCTGATAAAAGCTGTCAGTCGAGTCTTGTTGTACAGGTCCCCACACATGCGGACTGCCTCAGCCTGTGTCGGATATGGGTGGATGACATAGGCGATGGATCCCAGCCCAAAGCCTGACTGCATGGCCAGAGAGACCTCTGATATCATGTCGCCAGCATTGTGTGCCACGATCGTTGCCCCAAGGATCTTGTCCGTGCCTTCCTTGACAGTGATCTTCACAAATCCTTCCTCCTGGCCATCACAAATCGCTCTGTCCACTTCTGAAAGCTTCTTCACAAACGACTGGAATTTTATGCCTTTCTTGGTGAGGTCCGCCTCGTACAGTCCGACATGGGCCACTTCAGGTTCAGTGAATGTGGCCCAGGGGATGAGCAGAGACGACATCTTCCCCGCACCAAAGAAGAGGGCATTTCGGATGACCGTGCGCGCCATGGCGTCGGCAACATGAGTGAACTTGTACTCTGTGCAGCAGTCACCAACAGCGTATATGCTCTTAGCAGTTGTCTGAAGGTATTCATTGACGACTATGCCCTTCTTCTCATCGTACTCCACGCCAGCTTTCTCCAGATCCAGCCCTCTGACATTTGGAGTCCTGCCAGTGGCCACCAGCAGCTCATCCACCACCACAATCTCGGGCTTTCCGTTGTTGACGATATGAACCTCTATCCTACCATTGCTGGGTTTCTTGACCTCCTTGTACTGACAGTGCAGCTTGAAGGTTATGCCGTCCTCGACCAACTGCTTCTGAATGATCTCCACAGCGTCCCTCTCTTCCTTCTCCAAAATCTTTCCAGACCTCCCCATCACCGTCACCTGGGACCCGAACCTCGCCATGCACTGCGCCAGCTCCAGGCCTATGACGCCTGTGCCGATCACCCCAAACCGCTTTGGGAGCTCCGTGAGGTTGAAGAACGACGCGTTGGTGAGATAGGGCACGTCCCTGAGGCCCTTGATGGGAGGCACGCTGGCCGTGGCCCCGCTGGCGATCACGCAGGCGGCGAATTTCAGCGCCTTCCCATTCACCATCACCGTGTCTTTGGCCCTGAACTGGGCATGGCCAATAAAAACATCCACGCCCAGGCCGGTGAAGCGCGCAGCCGAGTCATGCCGACTGATCCCTGCCCGTATCTTGCGCATCCGCTCCATCACCGCCCCGAAGTTCACCTCCACCACCGGCACATTCAATCCGAATTTGGCGGCGTTCCTGGCTTCGTAGGCTGCCCGGGCGCACCTTATGATCGCCTTGGACGGCACGCAGCCCACGTTCAGGCAGTCCCCACCCAGCAGGTGCTCCTCCACGATCGCCACCCGCGCGCCCACGCCCGCCGACCCTGCCGCCGTCACCAGGCCCCCCGACCCAGCGCCGATCACCACCAGGTTGTACTTCTCCTTGGTGGGCACCGGGTCCGTCCACTGCGCCGGGTGCACGTTGTCCAGCAGCTTGATGTTGTGCTCGTCCAGCGGGCTCACGTTGACGTCCTTGGTGCCCTGTGTGAACTCCTGCCGGTCCCACTCCGGCATCCCGGGCTGCAGCCCCGCGGCGCCGGCCTCGTGCTCCGACCGCAGCAGCGCGTCCGCCCACCCGGCCTGCCTCAACCCCCCCGCGGGCCGCCCCACCTTCTCTCCCATTGACGCCATCCGCACGAACTTCTCCTCGTGCACCGCGAACCTGTAGAACAGGTCCTCGTTCTTGAGCGGGTGGTCGCGGGTCACGTGCGAGAACATGCCCATCTCCATGAGGCAGTTGCCCAGCTTGACGCCGTCGTCGTCGTTGCGGGCGTAGCCGCGGGACACCAGGAAGCGCACGGCGTCCATGCCCTTGAAGCACTTGGCGTATTTCTTCATCTTGTAGGTGCGGTCCTTGACCTCCACGTTCTGGATCATCTGCTCCGTGATGTGCGCCATGAAGTCGTCGGACATCGACACGCACGGCCTGCCCGGGGGGTCCTCCATCCTGGTCGCGGCGCTACCGGGCGGACGAGAGCGCACGGGTGAACAGCCGTGTGAAGAGCCGGAGGGCGGGCCGTTGCTGTTCGTTGGGCCTGGGTTTTGTCGTGATGCCCGCTGCCGAGTCGTCATCGACTTCCCGGCGGGGTGTGAGCATGTGTGATGTCGCGTTGGCATGGACATCATTGCGCTGGTGTGGCGAATTTTTAAGTACCCCTGAAGTTTTGCCTACTTTTGATTAGGAACTCTTGTGGTTTATGCGAACGTGACTGAGCAACACTGATGGACTGTGGTGAAGGAATATACGACCGTTCTGATCATGGGATAATGATTGACAAACTAACTCCCTTGTTCCGTTGACCCTCGAACCAGGCGACCGTCACTGATGACCTTCCAACCCACATCCCTTGGAGCCCTTGAACCGCTGGGTGACTCCCTGACCTCAGCAAGACCTCTTCTCGACCCCAGCACCCTGAGGCTGTGCCATTGGAGACGACTCCCGGGACTCCCACCTTACTCCCAGACTGGATCATTACGGACGGGAGTAAAGCACCAGAGCCGGGGATTGGACCATCAAGGCCGGGAGTAGGATCATTAAGGCCGGGAAAGGAGCATTAAGGCCGGGAAAGGATTGCTAAAGGCTAGGAGAGGAGCGTGAAGTCCGGGATTGGATCGTCAAGGCCGGGCGTGGATCATCAAGGCTGGGAAGGAACCTTAATGCTGGGCTTCGATTGGATTGATGTGCCGGGGTAGATTCTGCGCTGAATTTGGAGCTGGGAGTTCTGAACACAACGTCATGAGGCTCGGGAGTATCTACGGCTTTTCTCAAGCCCGAACGTGTGGGCGATGGAGCCTCCATGATCAATCCGGGAGTAATGCCTGCTATCCGGGAGTAATGCCTGCTATCCGGGAGTAATGCCTGCTATCCGGGAGTAATGCCTTCAATCCGGGAGTTGTCACCTTGGTGCGCCAGGGGGTCGGGAGTATCGTGCGAAGGGCTCAAATAGGGTTTGTGGTGCGGATTGGTTGTCAGGGATTGGTACGCTAGGACGGAGAAGGTTCTTTTGTACTGCATCCGGGAGTTCTGCACGTGAGGGGACGCGGCACTCGGGAGTAATGTCGTATATAAGACAAACCTTCCGTGTAAGGCAGCGAACATGGGCCCACCACTTTGAACGTTGACTCATGAGTTTCTGCTTCTAACTGCGACTCCATCCCCGTTTCCCTTGCCGTTTCCCGTTTCGCCTGCGGGTAAGGAGGCGACCGCGGTGTCTCCCATCGATTGGGACCGCATTCGATTCAATCGAATCGATTGCCCATCAGCCTGAGGAATTGGCTGGTCTGGCATTTACGGCTCTGCAGCAGGAGCGCCTGGACTGCATCCGTTTGACACGGCAGAGGTACGTTGGTGGATGCCACACTGGCGCTTCGCTCTATGGGTGAGAGTGGAGGCATAAAATTACTCCCCGTTCTTGTTTGCTGAGATTCGGTTCTTGTTTTCGGACACCCTAAACCCCAACTACTGATCCACGCACCGGGACTGGCCTTGTCAGCGGAACAAGAACCGAATCTCAGCAAACAAGAACGGGGAGTAATATATTCTCGAGAGTGGAAATGACCCCGCACAGCCTTGGTGGGCGGATTTGTTCACCCGGAACAGCGGGTTGAGCGAAAGCCTCGGGCTTCACTATCAGAACAGCAGTGAACAACAAAAGCCCTTGCGCCTTCTGCGTGCTGACGGGCATGGAAATGTCAAAGCAACTTCGACTGCGCAGGAATTGAAAAACAACGGGGGGCCGGAAGGTAGGAATTGTTTGAACGCGAGTCGGCATTGGATGGACCAGAGCCACCGTTGGCAAGTAGTAGACAACTACTGGTACAGTCGTAGGGGCCTCCAGGGGCAAAGCGTAACTCCTTTCGGCGACTCTCGAGTTGCTAATGCAATATTAATCGATCTTCAAAGTGTGCACCCTGACTGGATTTGTGGGTGCATGAATTCGGGTTAGTCGGAAACATTTGTTACATGTGCTCGCCGAATTCAGTGTTTCCGGTGATTTTTCGTTAGGGAGTCTCCCAAGAATTTCCTTTTGGACGTAACCACCTGCACATCTTAATCACTGCAGATGCGAAGTGTGTTCAGCCAACCAACGCCATATCAGCATAGTTGTCCGTTGTCATTCACAATGCGGTTTGCACGAAGCACGGCCATCTGTGCCGTTTTGCCTTCCTTGGAGAACGAGCCCGGATTTTCGCCCCTGTGTTGTCCCTTGCCCTGCAATCTGTCATATTGTTTCCAATGCTAAACTGGCCTTTGGGTGGCTCAAATTGCTGCACGCAATGCCTCTATTGGAAGTGTATTGGAGCACAAGAGGTGCCAGAAGAAGGCGAAGAGCATTTGATACCGCGATTGAGCTTCTTCGTCACAGACGATGTTAAACAACGTCACCAAAAAAAATCCTATCTTGAGCGAGACGGGCGAGGTTCTTGACACCAAGGCGTTCGATTGTTTCAAGAAGGGCAATAACTCCGATTCCGTCTGCCTTGCGTGATCGCCAATACACTACTAATACGCTCCTACCATGTGTATTCTTGATGTGTCCTTCGTGCGAGCACGTGTCCTCAATTTCCAATGCAGAGCGGCATTGTATATGACAACTGCTGTTTCAAGTTTCCAGCTGCACCAAGCATTCAAGACTGGCCAGAAAGGGACCTCGAATCATGGAAAATACAGGAGAGTGAAAGCCTCCATCAGACGCTCCATCTATGCGTAACATGCACCAAAAACTTTCGGCATTCCCCCATGCATTACACTCACCAAATACTATTGACGCCATCCCTTTGAATATTCACACAAAACGGCATAGTATCTAATGACAATACTTGCGCAAAAACCCGAATAGAATCCATCTGAGTGCCACGGATCTCCTTTTTGTAGTCATGCTACGTCTGTTCCAAAAGTATTGTCGCTTTTCTAATTCCAGGAAACGAAGTTCACAACATGCGAGTCAGAAGATTATACCAAAACGACTTTGAAGCGCCCAATTGAGAGCTATCCGTAGAGCCCTCAAGCGTTGCAAACAGTGCAGCCGCTGATGCGACACGTGAGGAGCTGAAATGGGACTTCGCGTTTTGTCGGGACTTCGGGCGGAGCAGAGCGACCTCGTCTTGCCCTTCAAAAGAGGTGGATCGAGCTGAGCTGTCTCTTGGAAAGATGATTGACCTGGAGGTTTAGTATACATTGACGATTCGCCTAAAATCAAAGCAGCGTCCGCACAGCAAGCGATGCGGGGTTTTTGCACACTTTTAGGGTGTCAACAACAATTGTGGGTATGTTGTGGCCAAAGGACAAGAGACACCTAGATTAGTGCGAGAGCATTGACCGAACTGACACACCATGGTTAGCTAACCTTGCTATAGGCAGGCTCCTATAGGAAGGCCATGCACGCTGGCGCTAACGCCACACCGGCCTGTGTTGGTGCCAACATGGCCAATCGTTGAAACTGGGAATTCCGAAGACATGAGTCAGCATAGTGGAAGAGATGGTCCACAAAGAGTGTGCAATGATGCCAAGCTCCTCAAAAGTTATTGTAGTGCCTATTTATTGCCTAGCAACAAGGTTCTTTAACCATTTCGTGCAAATAGGCTGGCGCGCATGGGGATGACGTGAGCACAAAGCTAGGGGGAGTCGAGGCCCTGACAGAGATGGACAGGGACGCTTTTGAAGGGGCTGCGAATTCCCCCATTTGATGACTAATTGTACCAAGATCCACATCACGCCAGAATCGACCAAGGAATCGAAATCTGGTGGCAGATTGACTAATTGAGTTGATCCTGCAAAGTTGCAGCAAGATTGGGGAAGCGACAATACTTTTGGAACGGAGGTAGTACATCCAATCTCACAGAACAGCGCAATTCCAGGCGTTGCTCCCATTGATGGAACTCACTGCTCCTCCAGTGCTTCATGCCGGGGTACATATAGAAAAAAAAGAAATGCATATTCCACATAGTTTCTGTCCATGTTTGAAGAGTGTTAAGCTGCCAAAAAATGGTGCAGAAAAAGGGGCCATATCGTGCACTATCTCGTTCCATGCATCCCTGGCGTGGCGGTAAACACTAAATCGTTTTGCGCGCTATATCGTATAAGGCTATATTGTATGTATAGCTATGATGTCAAAGTTGGAAATTGGAGGCTAGACAGTAGCGTTGGCAACGGTGAAGATTCTGGATGGCTGGACGCAGCAGACAAGGTTAGTTTCATACGGTATTGGGCGCTTGAAGGTGGGGTGGGTGGGGTGGATGGGGTTTGCCAACCTCGCAAAAGTGTATCGGAGCACCAGGTGGCACTTAAAATTCGCATCAACCATGACACACATCGAAAAATTACATTTTCTAATACGAGCACTGTTTGAGCAACGGACCATCCAAAACACGTTCCCTGGCTAATACAAGATGATTGCGCCCAGCGTGGAAGGCGTCCAACGGATGGCAAAAAATTCACAAGTGTTCCTTTACTGTCCACTATTGAGCCCACTAAGGGTTCACGAAACCAGCAATACAGCATTGATGCCATGCCAATACAGGACACACTTCGTTTCCTACAGACATCGCCATGATCGGACTAGTCTAACCTCTGCAAACGCTGAGCCAGGGGCAGGAAATTGCAACTAAACAAACAGAAGAATGTGCAGAGCACAGCACAAGAGCCTGTGCTGGGCCTTGTGATCACTTCCTCCTCCATGCCAGAAGGTTGCGAAACATGGACTTAACAAACTTGGTCAGCCGGGTCTTGTTGTACAGGTCCCCACACATCCGAATGGCCTCAGCCTGCGTGGGATAGGGGTGGATGACGTAGGCGATGGATCCCAGCCCAAACCCTGCCTGCATGGCAACCGAGATCTCTGATATCATGTCGCCAGCATTGTGCGCCACAATCGTGGCCCCCAGGATCTTGTCTGTGCCCTCCTTCACATATATCTTCACAAACCCCTCCTCCTGGCCATCTGTTATGGCCCTGTCCACCTCTGAAAGCTTCTTCACAAAGGTATTGAATTTTATACCCTTTTTGTACAGATCTGTGTCGTACAGCCCGACATGGGCCACCTCAGGCTCTGTAAATGTTGCCCATGGAATCAGCAGGGATGACATTTTGCCCGATCCGAAGAAGAGGGCATTCCGTATGACAGTGCGGGCCATGAAGTCTGCAACATGGGTGAATTTGTACTCAGTGCTGCAGTCTCCAACAGCAAAAATCCCTTTTGTGGATGTCATGAGATTGTCATTGACGATGATCCCCCTCTTCTTGTCATATTCCACCCCAGCTGCCTCAAGGCCCATGCCTTCCACGTTTGGTGTCCTGCCAGTTGCCACCAGGAGTTGATCCACCTCAACAATCTCAATGTTGCCATCGTTGACGACATGGATCTCGATTGTCCCATCCGCAGCCTGTTTCACCTCCTTGTACTGGCATTTCAGCTTGAATATTATACCGTCCTCGACCAGCTGCTTCTGAATGATCTCCACAGCGTCCCTGTCCTCCTTCTCCAAAATCTTTCCAGACCGTCCCATTACCGTCACCAGGGAACCGAACCTGGCCATGCTCTGGGCCAGCTCCAGGCCTATGACGCCTGTGCCGATCACCCCAAACCGCTTTGGGAGCTCCGTGAGGTTGAAGAACGACGCGTTGGTCAGATAGGGCACGTCCCTGAGGCCCTTGATGGGGGGCACGCTGGCCGTGGCGCCGCTGGCTATTACGCACGCCGCGTACTTCAGCTCCTTGCCGTTCACCACCACGCTGTCCTTGGACGTGAATTTGGCATGGCCAATGTAAACGTCCACGCCCAGGCTCTGGTAGCGGGCGGCAGAGTCGTGGGAGCTTATCCCTGCCCGGATCCTCCGCATGCGCTCCATCACCGCCCCGAAGTCAACCTCGACGCCGGTCACTTTCACACCAAATTGCGCCGCGTTCCTGGCCTCATACACGGCCCGCGCGCACCGTATGACCGCCTTGGACGGCACGCAGCCCACGTTCAGGCAGTCGCCGCCCAGCAGGTGCTCCTCGATGATCGCCACCCGCGCGCCCACGCCCGCCGACCCCGCCGCGGTCACCAGCCCCCCCGACCCCGCGCCTATGACCACCAGGTTGTACTTCTCCTTGGTGGGGCTTGGCTCCGCCCACTGCGCCGGGTGCACGTTGTCCAGCAGCTTGACGTTGTGCTCGTCCAGTGGGCTCACGTTCAGGTCCTTCACCCCCACCGTGAAGCCCGAGTTGTCCCACGAGGGCATCTGGGGCTGCAGCCCCACGGCGAGCTTGCTCTCGTTGTTGGGCCGCAGCACGGCGTCCGCCCAGCTCAGCTTCGGCACCTCCTGCTCCGCCGACGCCCCCTGGGACGAGAATCGGTAAAACAGGCCCTCGTTCTTGAGCTCGTGGTCCCGCGTCACATGTTCGAAGACACCCATCTCCATGATGCAGTTGCCCAGTTTGATGGCGTCCTCCTCCGTCTGCGCGTACTTCTTAGCCATGAAGAAGGCCACCGCCTCCTTGCCCGTGAAGCACGCCGGGTATTTCTTGAAGTTGTGCGTGCGGTCCTTGACCTGCAGGCCGCTGCGCATCTCCTGGCTCACGAAGTCGAAGAACCCCTCGGAGTCCAGCAGGCGCTGGCTCGCCGTCGGCATCGCCAGCGGGTCGGTTGACATCTTGGGGCGGCGGGGAGGCAAAGTGGGGGCCTGAGTTGTGTTGAGTTCTTCTTGACTTGCGTGGAGCGGGGGAAGGCGTTTGGCGGCAGGCGGAGTGAAGGACGGCGCCCGTGGCGTAAGGCCACTCGACCCCTTAACTCACTAACGCTGGCCACTGTCGAGACCGTCTGGGGAGGGCTCCGGAGAGGTGGGCGGAACATCGCGTCAGTTGGTGGGGGGGCCATCGCGTGAAACGGTATTACGTTGGCAGGTGGCGCATTACACAAACGCAGGCACATTCTTACACCGCCCCGCACGCAGCGAGCCGCGGTGCCGGGAGTCGGTGCAGGTTTCAGCACATGTTTTGCAGGGCTTCCAGGAGTAATGAGCTTCCGAACAATTTTGAGCCAATTCAGGTGGTCTTTTTCACTAGCTTTCTGAGGTTGTTTCTCTCTCGAGAGTGGGGAGGCAATAGCTCTCTGCACCAGTAAGCTAGAGCAGGGGGTGCTTGGAAAGGCTGGCCTTTCTCATAAACCGACTTTTCAATATGGAATGGAGCATAATGCCACGACTGGGCCTGTTCAGCACACTTCTGTGTGTCTCCTGCTGAGTTTCCGCTGCTGCTGACTTTCAACAACTGTGTTGAGGTTTTGCACAATTGCTGGGCTCGTCAGTGGCAATGCAGCATCAAGCGCACAGATTGTTGACAGTACTGCATTGGACCACTCAGTTAACAGCATCAAACTTGATGCTTGCATCAATGTTGTCTTGTAAGAAAAAGCAAAAAATCGACATACAGAGAGTTGCTGTGCCCCATCAAAAATTTAAGTGATGCAAAGAAAAAACACATGAAGCAATGAGAATAAGAAGAAAGGAGAAAATGAAGATTTTAAAAATGGGTTTGGATTCAAGCCGATTAGTACAGGTAGCAAGATGTGCTATTTTGTTTGTATGACTTGTTCGTTTGAGTTCTTAATATCACACATTTTGCTTGGAGCATCATGGAACCATGAACTAAAAGATTGGTGGCACTTTCTTGGAATGCAAAACTAGCAAATTAATGTTTAAATGTGATTATAACAAAGACGAAGACAATCACACGCACGGTCGCTCCTAGATATGAGAAACCAAGCCGTAAACAGACTCATTATAGGACAAGCACACCAATCACATTGTACTCGTTGCAAATATCTTTATTTAATAATCACCATATCTCGGTGCTCATTTCACTATATTTTACACCGTGTTCACTGCGCCCAGCCAAGTTGTATTTAGCACTATTTCTTTTAGAGCTATTGTTTATTATCCTCGCCCTCACAGTAATGATGCAAGGTCTGATCAACATACTGTAGAATTGATGGCTTTCTCATCTAGAAATTCGGTAGGCGTTGATGTGACATTGATGGGCCCTTGCACCAATGCCGCTCTAAGGACACGAGCATTGAAGGCAAGCATTGATCCAAGAGCCTATACATAGTGCATCAAAGCCTACCAATATTCTGGATGTATATCAGGGCTGCTGATCCACTGGCATCAAACTCGATCAATATTGCATCAACGTCTACCGAATTTCCTGATGCTCAATTCTCCTCTCCTCTTGGTTCAAAAGCTAATTCTATTATGTGGGTTTGTTTTCAGCTGGTGAATAGTTAAAACCTCCAAATGATTTGATCACAAAGCAGTCTAATTATACTATTTGTGATCAAATCATTCGGAGGTGTTTGTACCAGATTAAATGTAAATAAATCGTTATCGCTCTTCCATTTCAAAGAGATTTGAAAGGCAAGGTTTTTAGCATTGAAACTTGAAGCATTTGCACGATTGTTGGGTAAATAAAATGCAATAGCGTGTACATGCCATTTGTGATGATGAAACGATTGGAAACATACTTTTGTTAAAGACCTAGGTCTCTCAATTAAGTTAGTCAATTCAAAATTAGGCCTAACTTTTCAACAATTGGAAAAGGTGTTTGTGCACTAGTTTAACTCTAGCTATTAATTGTGTTTTGGCCAGTGCTTGAGGCATCATGTTGATGAGATACAACTGGTACTGTGAGTTGGCACCGGTGAGATTATAGCATGTGATCGTGAGCGACAGCATGGCTGGTGAATATTCCGTAATTTACCTAGCTGGGGTATTGGCTGCTCTTAGTGATTATCCACCTGACAGAATCAATTGTTTCAAGGTCTTTGTGTGCCATTATAGAAAATTGGAAATGAATGGATTGATTACAAATATATGGGTTCTGGATTCTCTTTGTATTAAATATCCAATATTAACTTCCAATTTGGATGGCAATGAACAAATCATGGATATTGCTTTGCTTTTGCAAGATTGGAAGTTGATGGATATGTGGTTGCCTTGATGTGTAAATTCTCATAATCATGATGATCTTTGTGAAAAAAATCATGGTGGAAACCTGTTCTCATATTGGCAGAAATCTAGGTGTTCAAAGGTGATCCCAAAATATGTCGGGCCTAAGGCTTGTATTTTATTGGTTATGAAAGCAGACTAATCTCTCAACCTGTGTTGGGACAAGTGCACCAATATGGCTTTGAGCGGCTCATGCACCAAGGCTACCTTAACTTTCTTGGTCTCACAACACAAGACCTTCTATTTCTTTGTGTGCCTATAAATTGCAAAGAAACGAAGGCTTTTGAATCCCTCATTGACAAACGCAGTGATTCACAATTTATCATGCTTGTCATCAATTTGCAGTTTATCATGCTTTATGTGCTGTATGCGCTCAAAGGTTGACCTTGGTTTTGTCAATCGGGATCACTCCTACCATATTTAAAACCTAAAATTGGCTCTTACTTTATTAACCTCGGTACCTTTTACTTGTGGAAGCGTAACTCGCTTTAACAAACTTAGAAGATGCATCTTTGGTAATCTGGTGATGTGTTTATTGAATAAAGTTTATTATAACTAGTGAATATGCAAACATATGGATGCCCCTTGTAGCCAATTTGTTGTCAAACCTCCAAATTCGCTGCAATGTTACACCTCATCACTGATGAATATTGCTAACTTGATTGATTCTATCAATTTATCAATATGCACGAAATATGCATTTACTGATTACACCACAAAGTTGTGTGCTATTTTAAAGCTTGCCACATTGGCAGAACAAGCCAGGCGGAAATTGCATAATCTCTGCCAATATCATTATGTGGAGGCATATTTGCTTGAGTTCTAGAGGTGGACATTTCCATTGCCTGGTATAATGCATTCTGAGAAGGGGAGCAGGGGACGCCTTTTCTGGGATATGGTAATGATACCTATCGGGTTGAACGAACACTTTCGCACTCGCACACGGTCGCTCCTAGGCACAGGAAGCAAGGCCGTAACTAGATGCATTACAGATTGAGCGTATCGGTCCAAATACCAGTCACTACAATAATATTCGATACCCAACTCCATTGGCTCTATGTACATTCGCCATAACACCATGCTCACGCATTCACTTCCAACCATAAAACACCATAGATCACATATAATATTTTTAATCGCTCCCTCGCCCTCACACGCTTCCCTACGCCAAACACACCCACACACCACAAACCCAGCTCTTTCAAGTTGCCTCCCGATACGGCCGCAACATGTCAGTATGCTTAACCCACACTTTCCCCTCCGGTCCCCGCACTTCCCAAACTGCATTTGTTATGGGGCGAACCAACCGCCCCGGACCCTTCCACCATGGCTCGAGCTTGTCCTTCAGCGTTTCAACCTTTGTGTTCCATAGCCACACCCAATCTCTAGCTCTGAACGTCCGGTGGATTCGCCGGCCCCTCGTCCTGTGGTTTGCCGTTGCG